GGCACAGTAAAGATGTTTACTGTAAATCTTTCTACGACAGACCAACGGACCACGAGTGCCCCTGTCGGTCAACCAATCACGTACCGCGGTACCCCGTATGTGTCTGTACCGCGCACTTTGAATGGCTGCATCTGTATCTCCAGGTGTGTCTGTGTGCCAGACCTCTATATCAGTGCCCATCTCATGTCCTTGATGTCCATCTTTTCAATAGAAATGTAAGATTTATACATATTTTAAATGACTTGTACTTTGAATGCTCAAAGTTTATACTTTTATGGGTAAGAAAGGAATGACATGCTGTGCATCTACAGAAAGCTGTTCTGAAGAGGCATTAAAAAGAGTAGAAGGTGTGAGAAACTAAAGATTGTTTATACTCATATTGTTCTATTTTATGTTGCCAACCATATGGATATGTTTACATTAGATATCTATGATACAATATTTGTGAACACAGCACTCTGCATCAATAATTTATTTTCTATAAAAATATTACTCTGTGAACCCTCTCCCATTTAGTTTAAATATTTTATACTGCTCTGAACATAAACTCAGATCCGGACAAACGCAAACCCTTTTCTTTGATTTTCACCACATATTAATTTTTTTCCACCTGTTTTGAAGGGAATTGCACAAGACACTGGCAGTGAAGACTTTTATTCTCGTCAATGTGTAAGACATCAGAAATAAAGTTTTTTTCAATTAATATTGATCATAGTTTTCATATAATATTGACATTTTCTCACAGTATAATAAATGTACCTGTACTCTAGAGGTCAATGTGGACTTGCCTGATTTTTGTTTACCGATTGTAGCTTCACAATGAATTATTCCTTTCTTACAACCAACCGCAAGTTACTGTATTTCTCTCTTTTATTCAAATACTGTTCATCTTGTCAAATTATATTTGAGTATCTCAATAAATTTTTAATCAGACATTTCTGTTTTCAGATTTTTAGTGTTTGAAATTTACCAGTTCTTCCATGGACAGTAAAGGCTTATAAAGATTTAACATCACAATAAAAAAACACATACTGTAAATAATGAAAGCAGATGCAGATGTTTTAAACATTTTATTTAAATAAACAAAAACACATTTATAATGATGAATTGAAATTGTTCAATGTGTATTATCCCAGCTATACATTTTGACAACTTCATTCAGACAAAAGTTTAATTCTAGATGAATTACGGTGAAATATTTTACATGTAACAATAAGTTTCAGTGCTTTTCGAAACCATGGATAGAA